ACTTAAATAAGCATTTAAGTCAAGAATGGTGGCAAGAATTCTGGGTCTGAAAGCAGGAATAATATTAGTGCTAGGCGAGAAATGACAAAGCACAGTCCAGGGGGCAAATAGATACTGAATTAATCCTGTGCTAAATCAGTTTGAGAGAAATGAGGCAAGGGAATGAGTAAAAAAGAGACAAATATTGCTCATATTCTGTGGCACTTTTAGGAATTCAAGCCAGGGTGACAAAGCTCTAGCCTGTACTTTAAATGGGATAACATAAAAGAATAATGAGTTTCTACTGAACGGTAAAAAAAATAATAATAGCCTTGTTAGTAGAAAATAATTGCCCTTTGTTTTGTTTAAGAAAGAATAAGCTGCTAAAGATGATCGCTGTGAAGTGAATATAAATGGTATTCAGAGCTATTTCAGTTTCTTGATATATTAAGAGATAGCAACTCTCCAGTACCAGACTATATTTTTTTATCGGATTTCCGACTAGCTATTTTCTGTTGAGTGTATTTTCACAGTCATGTAGGTACTACCAAATATTGCATGTTGCTGAGAACAGGAGCATATATTCAGAAGAAGCACATTTCCGTTCATAATTGGCAAATAACACATATAATCGATTTCTTCCCCTTCAGTTTACCTCATGTGCTTAATGGTTTCTTGTGCTCCGAGCTAGGTTTCTGTTTCCAAAACAAAATTTGAAACTTTGAGCCGAGGGATTAGGAAATGTCCAAAGTAAACACAAGTTACGGATTACCAATGAAGAGGAAGCCAGCAAAAAGTGTAAATCAAAGGAAAGACAGCAGGGAGGAGATATTTTTTTTCATGGAAGGACATAATAAGAGCCCTGCTGGATCAGGCCAACAATCCATCCAGTTTAGTATTCTCTGACTGGCTGCATAAACGTGGTCAGAGGCATTGTCCTCTGTTGCTCTTTAAAATATGCTGTCTATTGTTTCTTAATGAAAACTGGCATTAGAGCTAATAGCCATTTATAGTCAAATCCCATATAAATTTGTCCTCATTTAAATGATCTAAATCAGGGGTGTCAAACTCAAGCCCCAGGGAATGATCCAGCCCACAGGGTGCTTAAATCTGGCCCGCTGGGCCGCCCTGGAAACAGCAAAGGACCGGCCCACGGTGCCTCTGCCAGCAAAAACAGAACTCCGTTTTCACTAACAGAGGGTTGCAGGAGGCTGTCGCAGCCGAAAATGGAGCTCGTGAGCCCGTTTTCGCTGACAGAGTGTTCAGGCCTCCAAAGGCGCCTACAACATGAGTGACATTGAGCTCGCCACACCCACCCTGGCCACGCCCCTCCCCCGGTGAAACACAACCCTGATGCGGCCCTCAATGAAATCGAGTTTGACACCCCTGATCTAAATAGATGTCCATCAACTTCATCAGAGAAGAATTTGGGAGTATTAGATTTCCAGAAAATTGTCTTAACCTCCCACAGTACCCTGTGAAGGTGGGAAGAATATGTCACATTTCTGGAGGTAATGATGTATCTGACTTTTGATCAAGTGCTCAAATTCAGGAATTTTGCTGATATATAATGGAAGCCAGCACCATATACGATCAAGGTTCTGATATGTGTGAGTAATGGTTTCCCTTATCCCACCTCAGCTGCATTTTAGTGAACTTACTGCCCTTTTGAATTGCCGTCATGGTCGACTCTACTTAAGGCCTTCAGAAATTAAGGTTGGCAGCAACTGCAGAATGTCACCCCAGAATCTTGATTTAGTCTTGGAGAGCAAGACACGCTCCTGTTATTGAGGAAGGATGAATCCTTCACCAATTACATAATCTTGTAACCATTGTGAGCAATTTTAATATATCACTGTCACAGCATTGATGGGTGTGAAAATGCTATGTAAGCAGTAAATATTGCTGCAGAAAGGACAATTTCCATGTGTTTTTATCCGAGGGGGACTTGCTTCCAACTCTGAGGGTCTGCCACCTGTTAGTATCTTTAGTAAAGAAACCCAAAGGCAGACTTGCCTATGTTCCAGCATTAGAAATTTGGAGGTCCCTAGCATACCACCATGGGGAATGAATAGCATTTTTTAATTGTTCTGTGCTTGTGAAAAGGGGAAAGAGATCTCTGCTTAGGTTCTCAGTTGCTGGCCAGCAAGCAAATATTGATTGGCTGAGAGGTTTTAGTGCTCAGGTATTAGCCAGAAAGAATTGACTAGATTGCATCTCTTTGCCACCTTTAGACTTATAGCATATATTCATGATATACTCATAGATCCAGGAATAGTCAAGCTGCTCAGATCATTTTCAGGTGTATTTTAAAACTAGATTTAAAAGAATTAAATACCGTATTTTTTGGAGTATAAGGCGCTCCGGACTATAAGACGCACCCACCTTTTTTGGTGAGGAAAACAAGAAAAAGAAATCTGCCTCTGCCTCTGCCTCCCAGCAATTTTGCCTCATTGCAGCAAACAGCAAATAGCCTGCTTTACTTTCATTTTCGTTTTCAGCATAGCTTGATTAGCACAAGAAAAAAAGAATCTGCTCCCAGCAATTTACCTCCTTGCAGCAAGCAGCAGAGGCCCACGCAGCAATAAGCAATGGCAATCTCTGCAGCCTGAAACAGCTGAGAGTCGGGAGGCCGATCCAACGGACAATCAACTTCTGCTAATTAGGCTATGCTGAAGCTGAAACAAGCTGTTTCTTCTTGCTGCTTGCTGCAAGAGGTAAACTGCTGGGAGGCAGAGGCCAAAGGGTGGACGGGGCTACATTTGGTGTATAAGACACACCTAAATTTTCACCCCCTTTGGGGGGGGAAAATGTGTGTTTTATACTCCGAAAAATATGGTAGATGGAAAGGCCATTAATGTACAGGAATACTGAAATTTCAGGAATCAAAATGGGCCCTTCAGGACATTGGGGCCATAGAATTTGCTCTGTCGTGTCAAGTGCTACTTTACTCAAGCCTGTGAACAGATGAATCTCCCTTGTTACTGACTATGTGCCCCACTTATATCTTCAGAAGAGTCCCCTACAGAATGTTAGTTCGGTTTCAATAATGTTTCAGTGAGTTGCTGTATTTCCTATAGATATGGAAATAGGGTGAAAAGACCAAATAAGTGATAATGGGTAGTTATATTGTAATATACAGTAAATGGCTATACTACACAAGTCGCTACCCAATGTGAAAGGAAGTATTGAAGTCAAAGAAGGAAAATTTATTGTACTGTCACTTTGCTTCCAGTTAAGCAAATTGCCACTTGTTATCTATTTTCAGTAATCCCTAAAGAAAGCTCATACAAATCTAGTACTGGTGTTCATTTAATATACATAATACATGGTTAAGAGTGGGCTGTACAGCTGCAGTCATTCCACAGTAATTATTACACACTATGAAATTATTCCATATTTAATGAGGATTGGAAATTTCTAGAGAGGCTAAGTGGGTTGAAGTAATTTCGCCTATTTAGAATGCTTAAACATGGTTATGATGTAGGTGGGTTTATTGGGCCCACTTGAGTAATTCCTTGGTATTTTAGGGAATGAAACATACATTTGCACAACATTTCAAGTGTTACCTTTTTGAAGCTGTGGATGATGTTTGTTTTGTTTTGCATTAATGAATTTCATTTGTGTTAGTACAGTTTAGATTGTATTATGTTTTAATTCTAAATTGCCTTAACACTTTGTAAATAAAATAAAATTGCAGCAGGAGTATATTACCGTTCTTGCATATTTGCAAGCTACCGTGCATAACATATGACCCAATATAGCAATATTTATCTTTTGGGTGGCTGCTTCAGGCTGTCTTTTACTTTTCCTATCCCCAAATTTTATTTTTCTGCCTAGAGCATTTATTATAGAGTTAAATTTGCTATGAACAGCTGCTAATATGATTGTTCAACAATTAAATATTAGCATGGATAACTTAATAGAAGAAAGATACCTGTATGTTCCTTTGTTCCTTGAGTTCCTTTGTTCTGTATGGATAAAATCATGCAGTTTTCTTTGGTAGTGTGCTTGGGCAGTGTCTACTTCCCAAATGTTTTTCACTTCCCTATCTAGCTTACAGCCTTTGAATTCATTGATGGTCTGCACATCCTACCCAGGCATAACCCTGGTTAGTTTTAAGGCCAAGCAGGCTCAGCCAGCTGCTGCTTCCTGTTGAGATATATAACTTAATGGTAATGGAATAGGTGTGTTTTTATTTAGAGCTGACACATGCTTCAAATTTAGGATTTACTCCAAGCATCTTATTTAGGGAAGTTGATATTGACCTATTGAGGCTACTGGATCAGCTCCATCACTTATTTAATAATTGAAAATGGTGTTTAAAAATTATTAAAAAGGGATAAACTGCTTAAAAGAACCGCAACATGGCTTTTTTTTAGTTTTGGGGCCTGACAGGTATTGACAATGTCAAAATTTTGGCTCTTTTTTGTAGTTGGGGAGTTTTAAAAGGCAAAATGGATGCTATAGGCCTTGTATATTGTTTAGGACATTCATTTCACCTCTTAAAAACCTACTACTTCCCTCTTAGGTTAGAAGGGGGTAAGAAGAGAGGAGTGGGGGAAGAGAAGGGGAAGTAGGAAAGAGAAGGAGAGGAAGAACGAAGGAAGTAGGAGGAGAAAGAGAAAGGAAGAGAAGGGGAGGAGAAGAAGAAAGGTTGGAGTAAAGGTAAAGGGTAAAAGAGCAGCCCCGAAAAAGTAAAAAGTAAAAATGAAAGTTAAAACAAAAGATGAATGAAAAATGATGGAAATGACTGTACATGTAAATATGTTTATGAGAAATAAAAATAAAAAACTTTTTTGGAAAAAAAAAAAGAAAGAAAGAACAGATCTTAGCCCTGTCTATATTTTGAATACAGCCTTCAGCATGCCATGTAAAATCTGGAGTGGCCATTAAGCCAAGAGAAAATTGTGTGTTAAATTTCTTATAATCCTCTTTTTTTTCCCCTTCTTTGTCATCTAACTATACTGGTGTCATATTCTGTCTACCAACTGCTCTCTTTATTCTTTTTATGTCGACAGTGTAGCAAAACCTGTGGCAAGGGGTCTAGATACCGGAAACTTATCTGTGTGGACCAAAACATGCAAGAAGTTGATAGTCTTCACTGTGATCCAAACAAGAGGCCATCCGATGTTGAGATTTGCACCTTACCCCCATGTGAATACATTTGGATTACAGGAGACTGGTCAGAGGTATGTATCTTAACTCTGGGCAAAGAAAAAACCAGCAAGCCTTAGTTGTTAAACTATAATCAGTGACAGCTACACAGAAAGGCAAGATAAAATGTACAAACCAGCTAGCTTTGTAATTTTCTTGTAATGCTCTTTTTTATTTAATAAAAGTCATAGGGAATACATGTAGCCCACCAACATCCCTTCGCAATTACAAGAATCTCCTCCATGTTATTGTGGTGGAATGTAGTCTTGATTCCCAGGAGGGAGGGAAGTTAGTTTCCATGGTTCTTCATTGATTGATTTGTTGGGTTACCAAAAGTGAAGGCAGTGGGGAGAGACTTGGCAGAATGTATGCTTAGCTCATTATAGAAAAAGTTTCTCTAACCTGTGGAGCATCTGTACGACCATTGTTCATTCTAATGAAGCTCCAAAAATATATTTAATCAAATCAAAGCTGAAGAGTCTTAATGCTTGCAGCAAAGTAGAGATAGGGCTGCCATCAAAAGTTGGCATTTGCAGACAGGTGTCAAAGCTAATTCTTACAGGAAGGTCCAGCTGCCAATATCTGGAGCTTTTTACTACCCCAATCAAATGTCATTTATGAACATTCATCTGAAATAAATGGAGCAGCTTCAATTAAAGTTTCATGACTGTCTGGAATAGGCAGTAGTAATAAAGAAATTGGACCATCTTAGTAGGATCTCACATAGAATACATTTTATTTGAAAGTTCTCCTGTGACGCTGGTATTGTACATAGAAAAAAAGAGTACTTTAGTTGGAAATCTTAACCTTAAAAGAATATGACCAATCTATTTTGGTACTTTACCTATGTGTTGAGAAATTGACATAAAGTCAGTTGACACAGTATCATCTGTAAAGTTCCTGGGGCATTATGTTTTTCAAGATTCCTAGCCAGAATAAATTAAATAGAATCAGAATCAGATTTGCAAACTACAGCTAGATTTTAAGTCCCTCGCCTGTCAATTTTGTGATTCCCATTTGTGTTGGAATGACTACATCCAGAATTCTTGGATTTGTAGTTTCAATACATCTGAAGGATATTGGGAAAGGCTGAATTTGGGTAGCCAATTGAGTGTTATTGAGTGAAAGAAGGGGGTGATCAAATTATCTATCTAATTAGGAAGCAGAAGCCTTGGTCCTGTCAAAAATTTATATTTGGCTTGAAAACCTGTTTGCCTAAAATTTAGGTTATATTCCAAAATCTAGCAGTAAAATTGTACCTTTGCAGGAAATTCAGCAACATTTTTAGCATGGATTTCTACGTTTTCCTTAGGAAAAGTGCTTCTGGCTTCCTCAGAAAGAAAAAAAAAAGTTCACAGTTGGGGAGAACGTGTCAGTCAAAACTGACAAAAAATGATAAAATATAAATACTGTATCCGTTCCTTTGAACAAAATCACCAGAGTATGTATTCACAAATTATATATGGTCTTTGCAGCACGTAGATAGTAAAAGGGATATAGAGTGCCTTCCTGCTTCCAGGAAGCAATATCAATCGTACAGAGTCAAACAGAAGAGCTTTCAGGACATTTGGCGCTATTTTCATAAAATTAAAAAAGATACTGTGGCTATTTTCCTTCAACATTCCCACCCACCTTATTTGGCAGAGCAATTGAAACAGGTACTCAAAGGATTAAAAGGCAGGATTGAAATAATCCATCACATTTAGCCTCCAGCTTCTTTTTTCACTTCACATTCATCCTATGTTCTTCTGTTTTCTAGTACTTTAGTTTCCTGGCCATACAATTCTGCCATGACCACTGCTGTTAGTTTGACAGACAGAATGAATACAAAGTAAAGTATTCATCCTGTATTGTCACCTATCTCTTGTGGATTGCCTCATTTCCTGGAAAGGATGTGATCCTGAAGAAAAAATATGGGAAAAGAGCCAAGGATATCCATGCTCCCAAGTTGATTACCAAGTTCCATGCTTCCAAGGTGATACTTTTATAAATCACTCCCCACCCAAAACTGGACCCACCTAGGAAGTTTACCTTCCTTAGAAGTTAAGTCAATGAACCTGCCAGCTGAGGAACCAAGCCCCAGGACCGACAAAGGAATATATTGATAGAATTTAAGCCAAAACATCTGGAAAGTAGCCAAGCTGGAAATAGTAACAATTCATATTTGACTCGTGACACTTCATAAACCACTGGATAGCTCATTTTCTACTTTGTCAAATGCTTTCTTTGAGTGATTTTATTTTTAAAGTATGTTTTGCTTTTGCTTCATATTTTTCAGTGCTCTGTGACCTGTGGTAAAGGCTACAAGCAAAGGCTGGTTTCCTGCAGTGAAATTTATACAGGGAAAGATCACTATGAATATGGTTATCAGAACACTGTCCACTGTCCAGGCACACCACCACCAAATGTGCAGTCATGCTATCTAGGCGAGTGCCCTGTTTTGGCATCGTGGAGAGTTGGAAATTGGGGAAGTGTATGTTTCTAAATTTTTGTTTTGTTATTATTCATGATTTATTTTACTACATAGCCCAACTGACCTTAAAGAAACAAGATGTCCTCTTTCATGGATTACTGTGTGTTACTTCACGAATGAATTAATATTTATCTTTTGTCTGTTCCGTGGCTGTACATATTCATGCCCAAGAGCCATGTGCCGCATGCCAAAGTCTCCTCCTATTTATTGATTTATTCCTATTGTTTGATTGATTTATATGACCGTCCTCCTCAACATCGTGATTTTGATTTTGGGCTAAAAAGGCATCAGAACATAGCATAAAAGCTTTTAGAAAGGGTTATTTAAATATCTGTTACAGAAAAATATAATAATTAAACATACATAAATAGTACAGTGTGACAAGGGCTTCTAGTAAACTATGTGAAATTAAAGTAATTTTATGTATCAAGCTAAGCAGACATCCTTGGCGCAATGTTTGCAGGAAACCCAGATTTTTGAAGTCCTACAAAAAGCTAACAGGGTTAATTACTCCAATTGTCTTGGGGGTCATTTTTCCATAAGCCATAATAGGGAAGGAACATCTCCTGGGTCCTGCTAGACGGCAGAAGGACCCAGAGCATGTCAAACCTGCCACATTATGTGGGATGAGCAGAAATACTTAGATACAAACAGTCCTGCAAACAACCTGGCACTATGACATGTAGGGCTTTACAGCCCTTTGAATTAACACATTGCACCCAAAGCTTACTCTGAGCCAGCACAGTTTGAAAAGCAGTGTTGCTACATGGGTGAACTGATTTATGCCCAAAACTGCATGTACTGGGGCACCACTAGATCGCTTGCAACCACTGCATGTAGGGATCCATGCAGATCACATTGCATCAGTCCAACTGGAAGATGAACAAAGCATGAATGGCCATGAACATAGCCTCTCCAGGCAAGAAGGGCCACAAGTTGTGCACTAAAAGGATTTGCACAAAAACCTTCACAGCCACGGCTGCCACCTTCCCAGTCGAGAGCTGCAAGTCCAAGAGGACCTGCAAATTGTTTTTTTTTTTTAAATTTGATTTATATGCCGCCCTTCTCCAGAGACTCAGGGCGGCTTACAATGCGTTAAGCAATAGCCTTCATCCTTTTGTATATTTTATACAAAGTCAGCTTATTGCCCCCACAATCTGGATCCTCATTTCACCTACCTTAGAAAGGATGGAGGGCTGAGTCAACTTTGAGCCTTGGAGAGATTCGAACCAGCAGAAATTGCAGGCAGCTGTGTTAATAACAGGGTGCACTAAACCCCTGTACTATCAAGGCTCTTGAATTGTGTACCAACTCTAATCAGAGTCAAAGATGGAAACATCTCCAGATTCCGGGGGCCCTAAAACCTACAACCATTTGGTCTTGCTAGGAGTAAGACAAAACTTGATCTTTCCCATCCAGCCTCCACATACCAAAAAAGAACCTTGATAGCAACCCAGGGTACAAATGTACAACTGAGCACCATCAGTATTAGATTAGATTAACAGAGTTGGAGTTATGTATAATTAAGTATTATAAATTTATACTAATTATGCTACTGGTTTCATGCAGAGTTGCTACTGAGTTGTATATTCAACATGCTAAAGAGAACACTTATTAAATACAAATGGATAAATTTTATTTAATAAATTTTAGTTCCCGATTTGGTCCCGCTCACCTTATTTTCATGGCCTCATTTATGTTTTGGAAAATGGCCTGTGCCAAATACACCTTTTCACCCTTCAAAGGTTGATTTGATTCTCCCTACCTACAATGAATGGCCAGAACTTACAGTTTTTATGACTATAAAAGGGATATCTAAATAATTATATCTCAGCTGACATAAATGTTAGTGGCTTAGAGAAGTGTGCATTTGGTTCATGGCAAAATAAAATAAAAATAAAATAAATAAAACAAAAAACAAAATAAAATAAAATGATCAGCCAACCAGTTAACATGAATAGAAAGTAGCGACAAAGGATAGAAAATTTGTTCAAGATTTAGTTCTGGCTTCAAAGAGAATTCATTTTTCCTTACCTAGGTTATCTTCTCACTGCCAGTCATTGTTTTTCTCATGCATAAGGAAAAGCAATACGAACTCTAGGCGGTTGAGTAAATGAAGAAAGAAAGCTAGGCAGGCCAACACTAAATAAGTAAGTGTTGACCGAAGCATGCTCAAACCAAGGTGGTCAGATTGTGTGGTCCTGTGTTGCTAGGAGATACGGAATTTTGCTACTGAAAAACCCAAATTCCATTTACAAGGTCACATACAGATCTTTCTTTCCTTTTAACACCATTCCTACACAACTGAAAAGTCTGGCATTTGTTTGGAGTTCAGAAGGCTCTCCTCTTGCTGTGACCAATTGTTTGTATTGCTTGGATACAGAAATAAAATCCAATCCATTTGAACTTTTGAAAAGAGCCTTTCTGACAGCTCTTCAAGCAACCTTCATATTTGTTAGATGTATTTTCACTTGGCTTCCTACATTTTACGGTACAAAGCTTGTTGTGGCTGTAGATCTTTGCTAAAAGAGAAATTAGTCCTTCATAGTAAACAACTGGAATAGTCAGTTATGGTGAAGTGTTTCTTAGGTTTATTTTCAATAGTTATTATTGCCCTAGTTAGAGAAGTGTGGTTTAGAGCAAGGGAGTTCCATTAGAGAAAACTCAGCAAATTCATATATATATATTTTTCTATTTTTGAGGCTGGAAACACAAAAGCTGCAACGTAAATCTTAAAGTGGCTTAGCATGGTTTTTAAAACACTAACATTTTGTCTCCAGAATACCTTGGAAAGAGAAGAAAATAGTCTATTCTTGCCATGTGCAGTCCTTCCCATTTTGCATCTTTGTCTCACCCCAATGTTGGGACCCATGTATCTCTTCCACAATTATATATATAATCCTCTGCCCACCCAAAGGTAACTTAGATGTGTTCTCAAAACCTTCTAAATGTGCTCTTAAATTAGGGACAATGTAGTTTCTAATTTGTGCTAAAAATGGGAAGTATTACCTTTTACCTCCGCTTAAGCTTGTTTACTCAGGAACTGTATATGTATCCATCTGCATTTGTTTGTTGTTCTGAAAATAATTTCTCTAAATAACTGCAAACAGCTGGTGCAGTCTGTAATTTATCCTGCAGTTTATCCTGCTACTTCTCCTTAATTGTTCCATCTTTGATCTGCACCTTACCAAAGAGTTTTATTGCAGAAAGATCAATGATATTTTGAACAATTAATTGGTTTTCCTTCAGCATGTCCTTTTTTCAGCTGGTATATTACTATATCCGGTCATAAATAGCTGTGATAATATGCCTGCCAGCAAGAAAATCTGTGTATGTGTGCTCAGAGAGAGAGAGTTAGTTAGATGGCAAATTGCTGTTTATAGCACTGGTTAAAAACTGCATACTGTGTGAAAAAGTTTCCTCCCCTGTTTCTTCTACTTTTAAAAATTGTTCTGCTATTTAAGCCTCCGTAGGCTTGTAGTTCTCACTGTGCAAAGTTCCTAATATCTTTGTTTTTAAAGAGCATCTTAATTTTCACACAGTTGTACTAAATATGCAGCAAAGCATTTTGTAGAGTTCAGAAGAGCCAAGAGGATAAAGATGCACAAACATTTCCTTTTTGTATTCAGTCTTTTAATTAAGCTTTGGTTTTGTTAGCCAGTTAAGTTTTTGTTCTTTCTTGCTCCCCTTAACTCACTAGAAAGTTATAGGTAATAGGAAAGGTTCTGAATTTGGTTTCCTTCCTTTTCAGTGTTCAGTGACTTGTGGAATTGGGGTGATGCATCGGTCAGTTCAGTGCCTCACAAACAATGACCAAGCAAGTACCTTGTGCCTTGATGATTTAAAACCTGAGGAAAGAAGGCCATGCCACAACATCCATAATTGTAAGAGTCTTTGGAAATGAGTTTTAGTTTTCCTTTTAATCCTGTGCTAGCATTAGTACCGATCTAGTTCCACATATTTTTATATCATATCCCACCCTTTTTCACTCAAATTAAATTAAGCATTGCTGGCTGGGGATTCTGGGAGTTGAAGTCCATGCCATTCCTTGGAATGGAAAGTTGCCATTCCTTTAGAGCAGTAATGGCTAATTGCGTGCCGGGGGGAGGGGAGAAAAGTACTTCCCACTGGAAGTTGGCAAATGGGCCATTTCTGCCCTCTGGAAGGCCTGTGGGGAGGGGGGAGGCAATTTTTGCCCTCCCCAAGCTCCTGGAAAGGCTCTAGAGCCTGGGGAGAGAGAAAAACGGGCCTTCCCTACCACCACCCCCGAGGCCCTCCAGAGGCAGGAAACAGCCTGTTTCCCTACTTCTGGTGGGCCGCGCGCCGGAGCTGAGGTCACGTGCTCACCGATATGGATACGCGTGCCATAGGTTCACCATCACGGCTTTAGAGGGATTTAAAAAAAAAAAAAAAAAACACAGCTCCCTTTCACATTCACGCAATTTTTCTTAAGAATTTGAGAACTCTGGTTTGAAGAACCCTCAAGTGATCTGAAGCTTTGGCATTACTTCAGCAGTGTGTTGTAAAAATGCCCTACAGCACTTTCTAAGCCAGGAAGGCAACAACAGAAATAGCAGGGAATGTTACGGTGCTTGATTTCCTCACAATGCATGGGGCTCAGTGCTTGAGAGACCATCATATGTGCGGTCTCCAATGCACAACGAAGGAAAGGAGTGGAATGAATGTAAGGCACAAATAAAATTTCCTAGCACCTAGATACTGGGGGTGGGAGATGGAGAACCTATAAGATCTTCCACTGCAACAAAAATGGCATTTTGTTAAAGAAAAAAAAACCTGTTTTCTTCCAACAATCGAACTGCAGCAATCATCTTCAAGTATAATAGTCTAAGAAAACTTTAACCTTTTCTATGCCTAACTACCTGATTTCTTTTCGTACACTTTATAAGATGATAGACCAGGGCTGGTATCACTTTAAATGAAGAGCAACCAGTGCTAACATATCCCTTAGATCAGGGGTCCCCAAAATTGGCAGCTTTAAGATTTGTGGACTTCAACTTATTTTATCTATTTATTTTATTTATTTATTTTTATATGCCACCCTTCTCCGGCGACTCAGGGTGGCTTACAATGCGTTAAGCAATAGCCTTCATACTTTTGTATATTTTATACAAAGTCAGCTTATTGCCCCCACAAACCGGGTCCTCATTTTACCCACCTTAGAAAGGATGGAAGGCTGAGTCGACCTTGAGCCTGGTGAGAATTGAACTCGCATTAATTGCAGGCAGCTGGATGTTAAATGCTGCCTTAGTAGGAGGCATTAGCCTCCTACGCCACTCAAGCTCCTAACTTGAAGTCCACAAGTCTTAAAGCTGTCAAGTTTGAAGACCTCTGCCTTAGAGGGCTATGTGAGCAAAATGCCATAGGTTGCACTGACATTAGAAGTCTGGTGCTGAGTCATGCCCACCCCCCCCAAAAAAAAATCTTACAAATTTTATAACATCACTGCAGGTGTTGTTGGGGTGGGGGGGGAGTTTTCCTGCTTCATACAGTTCCAAGGTCTTTCTCTTTAATTAAATAACTAAAGGCATCTCACCCTATCTAGAAATATTCACAGTAATAATCTGCCGATCAGCTGTTAGAAATCCACACTGTGTTATTTGGACTGTTTAGTTTTTGCTGATTAGAGCCTCATCTTTCTTTTCCTTATTTTAGGTGAGCTACCAACAAGCTGCAAAGAGGCAAAAAGACTCAAAGTCATCATTGAGGATGGTGAATATTTTCTAAAAGTTAAAGGAAGACTTTTAAAGGTATGAATCAAACATGTCCTCTGTTTTTTTGTTTTTTTGTTTTTTTGAGGGGGAATACTGTTTATATTTATTTTTATTTTTTTATTTATTTTTTATTTTTATTTGATTTATATGCCGCCCTTCTCCGGAGACTCAGGGTGGCTTACAATGCGTTAAGCAATAGCCTTCATACTTTTGTATATTTTATACAAAGTCAGCTTATTGCCCCCACAAACTGGGTCCTCAATTTACCCACCTTAGAAAGGATGGAAGGCTGAGTCGACCTTGAGCCTGGTGAGATTCGAACCTGCAGAAATTGCAGGCAGCTGTGTTAATTACAGGGTGCATTAAACCACTGTACTACCAAGACTCCTTATGACGGGGGAGGGGGGGGAACCTTAGGTTCAAATTTCTGTTTTCTTGCTGGGAGTACAGGCATTTGCTTTTCAGTGAATTAGAAGCAAGGCATTCCACAATAAGTATCATTACGAACAGTGGTGGGTTTCAGAAATGCTTACCATCGATTTGCCTGCACGCACACTTTCCACGCATGCGCTTTGCAAGTGTTCCTTCCGCACATGCACTTTGCGTGCACGCCTTCCACGCATGCGCCTGGCCCAGGGGTGAGTTCTACTTACCTTTACTACCGGTTTGCAACGGGATCGCGCATGCACATACGCAGATTGCTGATGACGACATCCGGGGCGGTGGGCGGAGCCTCCCGCAGTCTTTACTACCGGTTCTTGCAAACCGGGAACAACCCACCACTGGCCCGGCCTCGAAAATGTGGCTAAATAGGACAACATTACACCGGGGCGGACGCAGTCGCCTCTAATGGTTCACCTGAACTGGTACGAACTGGCAGAATGCCACTTCTGATTACAAAGAAAACTTTCTGTTTCAGCTCTCATTTCGAGAAGGAAAAGATTGTTAGAAACAATGTGAAAAGAAAATGAGCAACCAGCACTTTGCGATTCAATTACATTTACATTGTGCAATTTTTTCAGAAAACCATAATTCTATACCCTCTTCTTATTTCTGCCCTTTGCGCTCATCATCAGTTTTAATCATTTCGTAAAATTATGGCTCCTTTCCCCCCAGATATATTGTGCTGGCATGGACTCTGATAGCCCCAAAGAATACATCACTTTGGTAAATGGTGATGCGGAGAATTTCTCAGAAGTCTACAGCTACAGGTAAGGGCAGGCAGCCGTTCTGTATTTTTTTTATTATGTCTCGCTACCTTGTATAATTTTTCTTGCAGTAAGTAAAAAAGGGGCTTTCTTTTGATCCAGGTTGCATAACCCAACTGAATGTCCATATAATGGAAGCCGAAGAGAGAATTGTCAGTGTAGGAAAGATTACACAGCAGCTGGGTTTTCTGCCTTCAGCAAAGTAAGGCTGGACCTGAATGCTATGCAGATAATAAGTGAGTAACACTAATATTTTGTTCCTCAACTTGTTTTTCTTATTGTTGAAATTGCTATTCTAAAAGAGACCAGCTTACATTTCCCGAGTTTAACTTTTATATTACCATATCTTCTTTTACAGTGCTTAAAAACGAAATATTTTACCTTGCTGCACATTAAACTTAGTTTTCTGTGAATGTTCTTTTCCCTATCTTGCCTCAGCTAAACTCAAATGTAACATCATAATCTTAAGCATTGTCATGAAAATTCTACTTTATGTAATCCCATTTCTCATTGGGGAATTTAGAATAGAACAGAACAGAACAGAACAGAATAGAATAGAATAGAATAGAATAGATTTTTTTTATTGGCCAAGTGTGATTGGACACCCAAAGAATTTGTCTTGATGCATATGCTCTCAGTGTACATAAAAGAAAAGATACGTTCATCAAGAATCATATGGTACAACACTTAATGATAGTCATAGGGTACAAATAAGCAATCAAATCATAGTGTAGGAGGTGACCAGATTGAGCCTAAGGGAGGGGACAGACATGTCATCAGTCATGTTCCTTCTCGCCCACATGAGATCTAGGTCCAGCCCACCTTGAATTCCTTATCTACCACCAAATTGCTTTGAATGTTACTGGTTCAGATTCTTGTAGAGAGCTTAAATTTGCAATAAATCCTGATACCCATTTGAACTGCCTGGATCTCCTGATTTCCCTGGAGCTTGACATCTCACAGTATTGGGACGGTAGTTCTCACCAGAATTCCCTTTTGACTGAAGTCCCATCAGAAAGTAGAAAGGATATACAAGAGCAATCAGATTGCACAATTTAGCAACAATATTGGAGCTGGTTTTTGTATTCTAGCTGGACCAGAGGTGGGTTTCAGCAGGTTCTGACCAGTTCTGGAGAACCGGTAGCAGAAATTTTGAGTAGTTCAGAGAACCGGTAGTAAAAATTCTGACTGGCCCCATCCCCATCTATTCTCTGCCTCCCAAATCTCAACTGATTGGGAGGAAATGGGGATTTTGCAGTAACCTTCCCCTGGATTGGGGTGGGAATGGAGATTTTACAGTATCCTTCCCCTACCACACCCACCAAGCCATGTAACACCCACCAAGCCACACCCACAGAACCATTAGTAAAAAAATTTGAACCCACCACTGAGCTGGACGTTGTCTCAAGCTAGAGGCAGTTCCTAGTGATAGCTCCTAAAGAGGCATATGAAATAGACCAAATAAACTGCAGTTCTTTTATGGTCTATAAGATTACATCCACACTTTATGCCTATGGTTAAAACAAATGGCAGGGGAAACTTGCTGCTATAAAACCATCCTAAAATTTTAGACATACTAAAAAATACAAACAAACAAAGAGAAAAGAGGCAAACCCGTAGTGCATTATTAAAAGATTGGTGCCCCTGCATATTTACAATGCTTGTAATGGTGAATGGTTTTCACAGAATTATTCCTCATTTTCAGTGTCTCTCTACACAAGTTTAAACGTTGTGCCAAGTTTCTCATTTAATTATCTATGTGAAAAATCAAGGAGGATTGCTGATTAGTCAGAAAAATAAATGTATAAAGTTAAGTGTTTTATTTTCTGTAAGAGCCAGATTAAACATTTGCATTTTTTTTTCTTTTCCAACCATTGCATTTCCCCTTTGTCTCTGTGGTTCTTGCCAAATATTTTTTCACAGCTACCGACTTACAGTTTGCACAGACACTTGATGGGAGACCTGTTCCTTTTGCCACTGCTGGGGATTGCTACAGTGCAGCCAAATGCCCACAGGTATCCCTTGATCCCTAGTTACCTTCCAGCATTTTGTCATTTATTCCCAATCAAATCAATCATGCATCAACCATTGCCTTATTCTGTCACTCCTTGTCTAACATCTCCTTTCTTAAATATTGTACATTCTGTTTGGGGTTTTTTTTTAATTGTACTGATAAAAGAGTTAGTACCTCTGAATTGAGGATTTATTGTGGTGATCCAAATATTGTGGCGATCAAATGTTCTTTAATTTTTTTTTCTTATATTTAATATATTATTGCATTTAAGCCAGTTTTCTTTGCAAGTAGCCCACTGTTTAATCCAAAAGAATTCTTAAAGAGACTCATAAAATAAATGGGAACTAATTATTAAAACTGCATAAATCATCAGATTAAAATGCATTACAATAACTAATTTGAGCTAAGGAAACAAAATAATATTTGCTTGTTTTTGAAAACAATGTATAATTGGAGCAACAAGTTTTTGTGTAACTGAAGAATCTCAAACATGCTAGGAGGGGCAGCAGATTAAGAGAAATCTCTGCTTCCCATCATGAATGGGGACTAAAGGCTAGGTCCTGTTGAATATATGAGAAATGAATGGTTTCACATGAGAGCCAGTTATCCTTGAGTTGTAACAAGCTAGGTTTGTGTCATCAAGGTGATATATAAAGTTTAAGTGGTGAACTCCTGTTACTTGCCCCAGCTCCTGCCAACCTAGCAGTTCAAAAGCATGCAAATGCAAGTAGATAAATAGGTACCACTTCGGTGGGAAGGTAACAACGTTCCGTGCGCCTTATCATTGTCATACCAGCTCCATGACCACGGAAATGTCTTCAGGTAATGCTGGTTCCCTTAGCTAAGAAACAGAGATGAGCACTGCCCCCTAGACTCGGCCTTGACTGAGAGGGGAAACCTTTACTTTTACCTTTAAGAGCATTGCATAAAATGACAGTAAAAATAAAATACACAGAGTCCTGTTTTAGCCAATATAAACACCAGTGCTTCATGCAGCAAAATGAATATTTGCTCCATGGAGATTAAAAGAGGGGAAGGAGGAGGAAGAGACGCTTCTTCAACTTATAATTGATCAGGAAGGAAAGTGTTATGATACACATTTTAAATTACAAAACTAAAACTCAGAACATGTTCTGAGACAGGACATTTGCCTGGTTGACTTGTCAGGATTTTCTGTAGCCAAAACTAAGGCTCCTTTAGCATTTGCATGTTCAATATGTTCAGACGTACAAATGCTAAAGGAGCCTTAGTTTTGGCCACAGAAAATCCTGACAAGTCAACCAGGCAAATGTCCTATCTAGATAAAAGAGCAAGAAAATATAGCTGTCCAAATGTAGGAAAATGCTATTCTCTCTCTCTCTCTCTCTCTCTCCCTCCCTCCCCCCTCTCTCTCTCCCTCTCTTTCTCTCTCTCCCTCTCTCTCTCTCTTCTCCTCTCTTTCACTCTCTCCCTCTCTCTTTCTCTCTCTCTCTCCCTCCCTCTCCCTCTCTCTCTCTCCCTCCCTCTCCCTCTCTCTCTTTCTCCCTCTCCCTCTCTTTCTCTCTTTCTTTCTCTCCCTCTCCCTCTCTCTCTCTCCCTCTCTCTCTCTTTCTCTTTCTTTCTCTCCCTCTCTTTCTCTCTCCCTCTTTCTTTCCCTGTCTCTCTCCTCCTCCCTCTCCCTTTTTCTCTCTCTCCCGCTGCCTTTCTTTCTTTCTCTCTCTCTCTCCCTCTTTCTCCCTCTCTTTCTTCCTCTCTCTCTTTTTCTTTCTCTCCCTCTCTCTCTTTCTCTCTCCCTCTCTTTCTTTCTTTTTCTCTCTCTCTCTTTCACTCTCTCCTCCCTCTCTCAGAAGAGTTAAAAAGCGACAAAGATCACTGGAAGGACAAGAATGCCCTCAACTGGCAGGCCGCAGCAAGGCAGCCTTGTTCTCAAACTGCTGCAAATGAGAATAAATGCTTAATCTCATTCCTGCTGTGATTTGTACAGTATGTGCTAATCGCTGTGAGGGCTTGGAACAATTGAAAACAGTGCCAGGGAGATCTTGTTAGAATAATGACTCTGTGGTCTGTTGTTACACAGGGGACCCAAAGCACTAGAAAACGACATTGTTCACAAATAGACTTTCTTTCTTTCTTTCTCTTTCCTTTGTCTTTGCTTTTAAAAGAGCGTGCATTTCGGGTATTTAGTAATCATTTCAGAAAGCCAGTACAATCTCATATACGTCTTTTTTGTTGTTGTTGTTGTTTTGAAAGGGTCGCTTTAGCATCAACCTCTCTGGAACCGGCCTGTCAGTAACGCAGACCTCAAAGTGGCTTTCACAAGGAAATTACGCTGTTTCTGAAATCACAAGATCTCCTGTAAGCGAAACTTACTTTGAATTAAAGTGTTGTGTATGCTAACTTGCCGCTCCTTCTTGTAAATAGCAAAAAGTACGTGTGTGTATATGAAAGGGTAGTCAAAACTAAAGCCCAAGAATTGCAAAGCATGGTATGTAATTGGTGGGTTTAAAACCATAGATTGGAGTAAATTCAACTTGATCTGTATTATTGCAATTAATTAGTGGATCTGCTTAACCGTGAAAGTAAAAAGACTGAGCTTCGTGATTGCACACACTTCTTTAATTAATTGTCTGAGTCCTCCACAGTAGGCAGTTCAGTGCTTGTTCTAACAATGCTATTAAACTCAAGGAAAGAAAGACAAATTCCTTCCCAGGGTCTGTAGTGCCTAAGTACCCTCATCCTCCATGAATCCAGAGATATTAATGCGCTAGGCTGCTCCATTTTTTATGGCTTATTTATACTGTACTACCATAATAATTGTATAATAATAGGCATATTTCCTGAATATGTCTGAATATAACATACAATTAGAATAAATAAGCATAAATTAGTCAAGACAGCTAACATACCTAATACACCTTCTTCTTCCTATTTTCCCCAAAATGGGTTGGGCTAAGTGAGAGAGACTGGCCCAAAGTCACCCAGCTGACTTTCATGCCTAAAGAGGGACTAGAACTCACACTCTACTGATTTCCAGCCTGGTGCCTTCACCACTAGACCAAATAGTCTATGTTCTGCACATATCCCAGTCCAGCAAGTCAACAAAAGCATTCAGGCAGAACAGGAACAAGTCCAATCCCTTTCAGGTTTCCCCATTACGGTCCCCGCTCCTTCCCCAGAGCTGCAAACCCGCCGTTTGAGAATCTACACAAATGTCAACCTTGCCGTGATCAACAATTTGCTGCAGTAAGCAGGACAATTCCAGCGGAAAAACGGTTGGCATACTTGGGCCACTTGCACATAAAGGGATCCAAGACCTGTGGAAAATAAAAGGCATCGTGTTTGTCTCAAAAGGGACAGTGCAAAGGAGAATTTTCACTTCGTTACTCTGAAGCAGCTGGGGGAAAAAAATCAATGTTCAGCAGGAACTCCTAGAGGGAATCCCAAATGACCAACTGAAAGCAGAGATTCAAGACAATCAATATTGGCTACTTTTCCTGTTTCGGCTGTCAGGCGCAGCTCTTGAAGTTTCAGTATCAGGAGAAACAAGTGAACAAGAACGTGGGATCGGTGTCAGAGATCAAGAATAGCAAACACAGAAGTTTTGCAGACTACATTTTAACAACATGTAGGACTGGAAAGTCTTGTGTTGTTTGTTTCACCTTTTATATTTTTTTTCTGTCTTTCTGAGGCAAATTCTGTTGTTTTAAAATCAAAAGGCATTTGAAGCAGAAATAGACTTAGACTTAGAATACACTTTATTGTCACTTTGAATGTACGCTAATCGGCATACATTAAAATGACATTTTGTTGCATACAGCCCTCAAAGGGTCACCACCTCCAATATACACTACATAATCATGACAGAATAAATAAATAAGTACAAAATTATGCATATACCCACATATATTAAAGAAAACAGAACAAATACTGAATGTTATATGTGTATAATTTCATTTTAAAATCATAAGGTTTTACAAAGCTGGGGTGGCGACCTCTTTGTTTTATACGTTTTTATTTTATTATCAGTTCCTTCATTTCCTTCTATGCTCCTTTAACCTAAATATATTTTGCTTTTCTAACCCTCTGCATTTTTATTAAGAAATATGTTCCCTTTGACTAATGTAATTAGGGTTAGGGTTGTTAATACATTTTCCTTCTATAAATTGCTCAAATAGTTTTGGGATATAAAGAATTGCATTTACTCCTCTCTGGTGTATTTCCCCCCCCCCTCATTTTATCTATATAGGATGGTACCAAAGTAATAGGAAAATGTGGTGGTTACTGTGGAAAATGTACTCCATCGTCTGGAACTGGCCTCGATGTTCAAGTGTTATAGCAATGGTAAGTTGTAATTTCTGCATATTTTGGTGTTATATTTACACATATTTAAATGTTTATGGGCTTAATTGTGCATCTGATCAGTAATATTTATTTAATCAACTAGGTCTGTATTTATTTGCAGTGAAGTTCATTTGGCTGAACTGTAATTCCACCAGGCCAGCTTTCCTTTGCAATCTCTCAGCCTCAGAATTATGGTACATGGAGTCACTGAACACTGATGCATTTGAGTATAATGACATCACTTCTGGCACAAAACCATACTTGGATTTAGCTCTAAAATCGTCACTTCCACCTTTTTCCTAAGTTTTCCACCCACACCTAAGTGTGATTTGTTCAGAAGAAGAGGGTACAGGTAGACTTCGTTTACTGACTACTTCATATCACAACTGTTTTAAGGATGTGCAGAAAGGAGCTTTGTGCCCTCATATGCTCCAAAGCCCCTTTATGGACTCATCTGGGAAATATTTCACAGGCTTGCTGATGATGACAAGCCATCTGGACTTCGATTAAGATGTTCAGAAGATGCCCCTGTTTCACTCACATTTTGTAGAAACTTTTTTCCGGGACTATATCCATAGCTCCTTGCATCAAAATGACAAAAGCCATATTGTGAGACAAACTCTACTCCTTCATTTAATAAAAGCAGTAAGGTTTGCTTTGTGATAGTACAATACTTCTACCATCAGATGTTCAGTTTCATGCTGGCTGTCTTCAGTATTTGGAACTCCATCAAACAGTGTAAGGAACAGCAACCTCGGAGACATTCAATTGTCAATTGAATGACAACTCAGTTTTTTTTTTTTTTTAATTTGATTTATATGCCGCCCTTCTCCAGAGATTCAGGGCGGCTTACAATGCGTTAAGCAATAGCCTTCATACTTTTGTATATTTATACAAAGTCAGCTTATTGCCCCCACAATCTGGGTCCTCGTTTCACCTACCTTAGAAAGGATGGAAGGCTGAGTCAACCTTGAGCCTGGCGAGATTCGAACCTGCAATAATTGCAGGCAGCTGGTCTTAATAACAGGGTGCTTTAGACCACTGTACTACCAAGGCTCTTGGTTGTCAATTGATTAAGTTTTAACTTTTATTGTTTTGTTTTTCTTGAATATTCAGATGTCATCACAACAATATTGCTTACTACTCTAACTGCAATGGCGAGCCTATGGCACGCGTGCCAGAGGTGGCACACAGAGTCCTCTCTGTGGGCACGCGTGCCATCGCCAGCTGCTCTTCTGGTTTCCAGCATGCACATGTGCACCGGCAAGTTGATCTTCACTCGTGCCAGAGCCCCAGAAACCTGAAGACCGGGTTGCCAGCGCGTGCATGCACACTGGCCAACTAGTCTTTGAGCTTCTTGGCTCTGGCACATGTGTGCGCGCATGCACACACACATGTTCCAGTTTGGGCACTCAGTGCCAAAAAGGTTCGCCATCACTGTACTATAACATTTGATTAAAAAAAAAACAATTTCTGAGTAATCACATCCACTTAAACCTATCCCTGGCTGGTATTTCTGAATTGCCATTCATTCATTCATTCATTCATTCATTCATTCCTTTCCTTTTAAGATGAGCACTCAAGGCTCCATATGAAAATAGTGGTTTGTGTTGAGGAATTTGCAGAGCAACCCTAGAGTAGCAAGGGTGTGCACATGAAAGCGACTGAGAGCAGTTGCAAATAATCACAGTCAACACACAGATACACTGAGTTGTGTTTACTTTTAGGAAAATAGTAATAAGCACAGTCCAATAAACAGTCCAGGTCATACACAGATAAAGCAGTAGAGAGTAAAATAGGGAATATTCCAATAACAAAGTCTTCTTACCAGTCGTTGTAGTCATACACAATAAACAGTTGCAAACAGTAGCAAACACAGCAAATAGCAGTAACGATCAGTAACGTTCAGCAAAGAGTAGCAGAGAGCAGTAAAGAGACACTAACCATGTTTCAAGCTCCCTCTTAAGGACATTGGCTAGGAAACAGTATGATGCAATACAGCAGTACAGCTTTAAAGCTATATTGAGGTTTTATATATTGCCAACCCAACAAGTTAGGTAACTATCATTTCCTAACAGTTTGTTTGATTCTTTGTTTGCTTTAAGGAAAGACTACCAGTTTTCTTTTCAAGCTGACATTTTGGATGTCAGCCATGGCTAGGACACTTGACCCTTTGGGAAATGATTCTCACAAACGTGATGGTTCCAAAAACATTGAGGAGTTGCTGAGTCTGCATGGGTTGAATCTATGTATAATTCAATTATCTGCATATAAAGCCTAAGTCGAATGACATAAAGATAATTTAGTGATATAAGGACCTCGTGCTGGAAGCTGTTGCACTAATGTAAAAAAAAAAAAGGTTGTTAAACTGTACAGAGTAGAATTATGGTGCTTCTGTGCATATCAGATTGTCTCCATACAGTCCATACACACACACACACACACACACACACACACACACACACACACACATCTCTGTTGTCTAGAAAGTAGAAATGAGATCTCTTTATCTTGTTTTTAATTTCCAGGATTTCTTAATGCCGGGAGCTTAAGCAAGATGGATGAAGGACAATTAAGCAATACCTCTGCCTTCCTTTTTTTTTTTTATTTCTATGTTTGTGTGTGTATGTGTATGTGCGTGTATATGTGTATGTGTGAGAGAGAGAAATGTACGTAATGTGCCTTTTTAAAAAAAAGTATGATTGTATCTGTGTATGTATGCATACGTGTATGTGTGTACAGTATATTCTTGAAGTTCTAATGTATTATATTTATGTCCGGAATTATTTATTTTGATTTAATATTTTTGTATGTAAAATTTTATATTAAAGCTGCTTATCCTCTGTTCTTTTTTTTAAAAAAAATTAAACCTTGCAGTCACACCACTGCATTTTTACATATTCTACATCATATGTAGCATTTTGACAAAAGTGATATGTTTATTGTCACTGTATTCAGTTGTTTACCTTCATTCAGTAATTTCTCTTCTTGTTACAGGCTGCACTGATATTTGTAAGGTGCTAACTGGTTTTCATTAAGGTATTTCTGGCATTTTAAAACCAATTCTTCCTTATGAGGAAAATAATTATTGTTATTAAATTTATATAGCAATCAGTACTTTGCAGAGATTTAGTGAACACGCATGGTAGTATTTATGCTTTATCAATAACTATATCTTACATATTTGTAATGGCATGTAATTTCCATTGACTAATCCTATAAAAGTCACTGGTTTGGTGCTAATATGATAATATTTATTAATAACCTGTAGGCTTTAAAAGCTAATTCTTTGCCTTGTCTTGTGGCAATGGAGAATGAGTAATTAAATTTGTGTAAAATGAGAATTGGTTCAAATATTAGTTTAAGACAGACAAAGCTTTTACCTACATTGGATGAAGGCCTAATATTATTCAGAAATTTATGAGCGGTTCCTTCTTCAGAGAAATTATTTTCAGTGATAGGATTTGTGTGTGCTATCATACTGGCAACATATAGCCACAAGGAACAGTTACTATCAGTCTGGATCAGTGGTCTTCAAAATTGGAAGTTAAAATATGGAAAGTAAACGAATACTGAAGAAAAAATTCTCTAAAAATTAGACATTTGAATTTTTTGCCTAAAATTTCATATTAGCAGGAACCATGTTTTTAAACATGGTTTTAAAGAGAAGTTTCAATATATGGGATCTGGATCTGGATCTGGGATCTAACCCAAGCTCCAAGAATTGAGTTTCTGCTGAGGAACAATATACTTATTTTTCAAGCAAACATAATGGAACACAAAAATATTTTGCCTTAATTAGAGCTATACAATTAGTCCTATACAATCCTTCTGCTATTAAAAATTGATTGTTCAAACAAATTACAGAATCATTACTAACAAGGAAAAAATAATGTACACTAATCCATATACATATTGATGAAATTCTGGAATTGCTATATATGCTATATCACAGCATATATTCCTTTCAGGAATTAGATGAATCTGCAATACATACTGCACTATTTTTCAAAAAAAACCAAGTACATATGGATCAGATCACAATTGCTATATTTAAAACATTTCTACTCTAGAGCAATGCAGAGCAGAATCATTTTTGTGTGTTTACATTTGCTCCAAAAATAATTCGCAAAAATCAGAATATTTAATTTCTGTTATTGAGAAGTCAGTAATACCAGAAGGTTGTTTTTTCTGCCAGATATACCACATGAAGAAGAGATGTTATGTCTAATTTCCCTATTTGTTTTTTTCAAACTAACTTTTTATCTGCAAGATTGATAAGCACACATACCTTATTTTATTAATTTTAGCTGAGTTTTAATTATTGCATGGTAAGATTTCAGAACTTAATAGTCATCTACTACTGGAGCAAAGCCATTTCTCTTGTGGCAAACTTGATATCCCTAATAACAGTTATACCTTAAAATCAGTAAGTTATAAACTTAATAAAGTTGGTTACATTTTCCAATATAAACAGCTTCCAAAAAAATATTACACCACCATGTTCATTATGCATTTGCAAGTCGCCCCATGAGTTATTGTTTTATTTTTTTAAAAAAAATATCTAAGCCATTTGCTTATCAACTACTGGGCAGATTTAGAAAAATTAAATGATTCTACTGTAAACCTCCCTGAAATATCTGTCCCTTTACAATAATTTATGTTGAACTCCTTCTCTGACATAAAAAGGGTTGTCAGCGAAATCTGATTCAAAATAAACACATTGTATTAATATCAAAAGAATTGATTAATATAGCATTGCATATTCTAATATCAAATGCATTTTTGCTCTCACTAGTTTAGGTCCAATAGCTTGTGACCAGTCTGAGAAGACAAAGTACAAACAAGGTTCTCCACAAAGAGTTCCATATCTCCAGGTACTTAGGTCTTCCAAGCTCATTTACCTAACTGCTAGATCAAAATTATTATTTTGACTGAACAGATAAAATAATCATCTTTACAAATATGCCCAAATGTTAAGAAACTCCCAGCCAGGCAGGGAGGAGGGGTCAAGCTTAGAACTAGCCTTGAGTCCTTGCTCAGCCACAAAAGGCATAAGCCAAAGACCTCTTCCAAGTTCCATGGAACCTCATCTGTTGTTTCCCAAGAGAAGGCAAACAGTCTGGGGAGATTCTTGTATTATAGGTAGAACGCAACAAAGTAGATGAACTTTTCATGAATGGATCTGGTTGCTTCCAGCTGGCACCAGACCACAAACTACCCATCTTTTATACATTTATTCTTGCTGTGGATCAGTAAGATAATGGCCATCAATATGATTTCTCCTGAATGTTCTCACTTTCACTGTGGAGCATAAGCTGTTCCTTGGTTCTATTGATAAATAGCAAAATACTGTTTTTTAATCCGCTTTACAGTTATTATAGGATGATTTCTGATGAGAAGCATATATGAATATCTTTAACAAATAATGAAAAAAAAAACATGTTTCTTACAAGTATTCACAGCTAATAGATTTCAGAACTGAATAAATTCAGGCAGGTCAAAATGTTAAATATACATTATAGATTTAAATAAATATTAAAAGGTGTATTTTTTAAAAAGGAAAAATGCCAAAAATACCTTTTAGAGTACATTTTATGAAAATACTGTGTAGTATAAAGGAGTAGTGATTTTGTTACAATATCACTCATTTTTTAAAATGTTCTGTAGGGAAAAGGGAAACTTGCACTGTAAGCATTTAGACAGAAATATGGTGCTTAACTCCATCTGCTATTTTTCAGTAATGAGGTGACTGAGTATTTATACAAAAATATATTTTAAAAACCCTATACATTCCTTTATACTAAGTAGTATTATGATGATGTCTATCAATGGTGCAAAAAAAGGAAAGAAAATGAATGACATATAAGGAGGTTACGATAGTTACTAATTTTTAGGTGGATTACTTCTTTTTTTTTCCAACAAGAGGACCACCGAATGATTAAGCAGTTCTTGTAATATATACATATACTTTTGTAAGGATCCCATTAATCTTTATGAAATTCAATAATATTTGCAAGCACTTTTGTTATCTTGCTTTCTTATTTTTTAATTATTTTACTTTTCCTTTTGGGTCAGTAAAAGAAAGGGGTAAATAATGTTTCAGTGATTTTCTTTTATTGATCACATTCTGCTGCATTGGATAGGTGCTTTCCTATGGACAAAAACAAAATGTATACATAGGATGAATAAAATGAATTTTTAAAAAAGTATACTGTTACAACCATATTTGTTCTTCTTGACAAAGAAAATAAATGTTGACATCAGGGTCTGGATGTCTGCCAAGATACATATTCCCAAAAAAAAAGAGCACTAGGAAAGTCCGTGCTGCAGTGGTGGGTTTCAAATTTTTTTACTACCAGTTCTGTGGGTGTGGTATGGCTTGGTGGGCTTTGTTTGTTTTCAAACATCTACATTCAATGTGGTCTATATATTCACAAAACATGACTCAACCATAGTTTCAACTGGGAAACTGAGCATCAAATCCAAAACGACTAGGGAATTCCTGGAAGCTTGGCATTCAGACATATCAGCCATCAATAGACATATAGAGGTGAAACACATTTACAGACCATTCAAAAGAGACCATAGAAAAGCTAAGAAGGAAACAAAAAGACCATGACATATCCTCTTTAGCAGCCAACATCCAGATAAGATGGGATTAACCCCAAGGAAACAAACAAGCAAAAATATTACCCTAATCAAGTAATTTCTGAGGACCGCACAGTTCAAACTTGAGCTACAAATATTCTCTTCTATGGGAACTTTCAAAGAGAAAACCACTCCCTATCAACACTGGCAAAGCAAGCTACTGTATATAAACAAGGAACACTGATGTTGGCTAATGAAATATCTGTAAGCAAACAATCAAGCTCAGAGAGCATTAAGGTCTCCACAGTTCAGTCCAGAGCTACAGGTACTCTTTTATTGGTATCTACATTCAATGGGTAATAGTTGGGAAAGAGTCCATCTTGAAGTTGCACTGCCTAACGTTTAAGTGTTGTATGCATAGATCATATCCTGAATAGCACTATCCACAGAGTCTAGTCCTTTTTGGATTTAGAAGAAGGAAAAGCAATCCAGATATAGGTTATAACACTACAAGCAAGTAATGAACTGGCCTCCACAGGAGGAAGAGGGGAAGAAATAGACACTATATGGGCAGCAGCAGTGGGTTTCACATGATGTTACTACTGATTTGCCGCATGTACACATGCTTGCTTGGTGCGCACGGGCGCCCAGTTCATGTGCGCACCTGCCTTCCGTGCATGCGCCCAGCCTCAAAAATGTGCCTAAATAGGATGGTATAGAGCCCAGATGGGTGGGATTTCCGCTACCGGTTCAGGTGAACCGGTCTGAACCAACTGAATACCACCTCTGATGAGCAGTCATGAAGGGACGAAGCAGCACCACTAAAAGCTCTAAAATAAGACTAAAACAGATGATATAGTTAATAATCTAGAGTTAATAGATACAGAATTTAAAATTACTGTGATAATTTAAAGAACAATTCTAGAATAGGGAATGCCCTACATATATTCCCTGTATATATACTCATAGAGAGATAATTAGACCCTAGCCTACTCTTTCAGCAGGTCTTGGAGGCAAATGTACTATGAAGTGTTGCTCTTGGAACACATTCTTCTGTTTGAATTGAGGTGGTTAATTGTCCCTGGCACAGAATTGAGTGATACGTGTTTTATTCTTGCCTAGATCCTTAACGTTATTTTACAGAATAACCTCTAGACGTTTGTTAAAAATGGAGCCACATATAAGCCCGATAAAATAAAATGCTAAATAAGATAAAACTCTCAGTGAGAGTTTAATTTGGATTCTTGCATTGAACAAATTGCTTGTTCCAATTCTATTACTCTACTCAAAAGGAGATTCTTCAAAATTAGTTATGATGAATGGAATCCAAAGTGCAGCATTAAGTCTAGCAATAGGCATTGACATATCCCATACATTTCCATCATTCCCCTTGAAAAATATTTCCTGAGCTGCAAATGGCTTTTGAAGTGAAAGGAGGCCTAATGTTGCCTGAGGCATATGGAATGAATCATCATCACCTTTGGAACCAAGCCTAATGTGGGCTAAATGTTTCAAATGTTTAAAGGTTATACGTGCCTTTGGGGGGGTGGAATTACCTTTCAACTTTCTATTTTCTATTTTAAGGATGTCCATTACAGGACCTCTAAATTTGCTAGCATTATATTCCGGTCTCCATTTGTTAAAAAACAAATGATGATATGTCATCTGGTTGCCATTCATTCAGATTTGTAACCATTAGTGACAGATCAGGTCCATGTTAGAAGTGTTTTTTTTTCCATTTGAACATCCTTCAGCTGCTGAATTTCAGTTCCCCAAATCCCCCACTCAATATGGTTGCTGAGCATTCTGGGAATTGTAGGTGAACATATCTGAAGGGCATCCTTCAATAACCAGGTTCAAAAGTTTAACTTCTCCAGAGGAAGAAATACCATAGCAAATCTATCTTTCCATTGAGGCACGGTGGCTCATTGTTTTAATAGACACCAGAGAAGGTCTGTGCTCTGGCGGTTAGAGTTCTACCACCATGTGACACGATGAGTTCCCATTACTTGCTCCAACTCCTGCCAAGTTAGCAGTTCAAAAACATGTAAATGCAAGTAGATAAATAGGTACCACTTCAGTGGGATGTAACAGCATTCTGTGTTTCACTGCACGGTCTGTGATGTTATGCTGGGCACATGATCACTGAAATGTTTTCAGACAGTGCTGGCTCAGTGGCCTAAAAACAGAAATGAGAGCCACCCCCTAAATTTGGCTAAGATTAGTGGAGTAAAGCCCCCAGAGATTCCTTTACCTTATCTTTCCATTAGGATAAAACAAATCCTAAAATTCTGAGTTCTACAAAAATATTAAATGAAGCGTCCAAATCTCCCTGGCTTTTCCACACTGTAACAGCCACTAGGCCCACCCGCCCAATTTCAACAATGCTGATGTCTTTTTTTCTTAAAGTGGAAAGCAGTAGTGGTTTTCACTTACTTTCGCTACTGGTTCAGAATTGTGAATGTGCATGGATGCGCTCACATTGCTCATGCGCAGCACTTCTGCGCATGCACAGAACCTTTTGCACATGCACAGAGCATCCGTGATGATGTCCGGATGGGTGGGTGGAGCCTCCCGCCGGCACCACTACCGGCTCACCCGAACCGGGGCGAATCGGTAGAAACCCACCACTGGTGGAAAGGCATTTCTTTGTTTAACAAAATGCAAAATTAGGATTGTCAAATCGTGGAGCAGAAGACTGGATCCTTGCAGAAAATAGAGACAGGAGGGATTTTCAGTTTGACAAGTATGAAATAACTCGGGTGTTGCAGGGGAAGATACTAGAATCCTGGCAATGCCTTCCACGCATTTCAGCTACACTACGATAATAAATACATATGTAGAGATTTCTAAAGGAAGCAAAAGAGATGGATGTAAAAACAGCTGCCCTCTGGCTTCGAGAAGGTTTATATCCCTCCTTCTTGTCTCCCAAATGGCCTTTCTGGGCAATTTCCTGCTACACATGGATTAACTCCCTCATCCCTTATGAGTCTCTGTGGTGTTTATTGGCTAGGCTGAAACAACTTAGGGATGGATCACCTCATTGATCATCATAAATCTCAAGTCGAAAAGCAAAGGCACTGAAACCACAAGTCACTGGAAGTTCTTACAGCTCTCTCTGACTCCTGGATAACCTCCTTGGTGCTTCTTTTAGCATAGTATCACGGTTTCGCTATTCTTCCAGAGGAGTGTCTTCACTAACTTTTCTTGATAGATTCCTGCAGAGACCAAAAGTGCCCAGAGACATGTGACATACAGGTAGTTTTAGGCTTAACAACCAGAATTGGGACTAGAATTTCCATTGGACAGTTGCTATGTGAGTTACATGCAATTTTATGACCTTTTTTTTTTTTTTTTTTTGCTAAGATTGCTAAGCGAATCACTGCGGCTGTGAAGTAAATCACACAATTAATAAGTAAATCAAGATTCCCCCGTTAACTCTGCTTGTCAGAAGCCATCTGAGAAGGTCATAAATAGGAATCGTGACCCTGGGACACTGCAGCCATCCTAAATACATGCCAGGCTCCAAGTGCCCAAATTTTTATAGGGATGCTGTGACTGTTGTAAATATGAAATAGAATAGGGATAGGGATAGGGATAGGGATAGGGATAGGGATAGGGATAGGGATAGGGATAGGGATAGGGATAGAATAGAATAGAATAGAATAGAATAGAATAGAATAGAATAGAATAGAATAGAATAGAATAGAATAGAATAGAATAGAATATTTTATTATTTTATTTATTAGATTTCTATACCGCCCTACTCCCGAAGGACTCAGGGCGGTGCACAGCCAAACAATAAAAACACATACACTACAAAATTTAAAAAATAGAATAAAATCAAATTAAATAATTTTGGCCCCGACAAATTTAAAACCCCAAACTTTTAAAACCAATTTAAAATTGAATATATAAATACTAAAAAATATTTAAAATTTTAAAAATCTTTTATAAAAGAGGGGGAAAATTAGGCCAGGCCGGCCTGGTGAAATAGTAAGGTCTTTAAGGCGCGGCGGAAGGTGCGCAGATCCGGGATCCTCCGTATCTCTGGGGGGAGCTCGTTCCAGATAGTAGGTGCCCCCACAGAGAAGGCTCTCCCCCTGGGGGCCGCCAGTCGGCATTGTTTGGCTGACGGCACCCGGAGGAGCCCCTCTCTATGGGAGCGTACCGGCCGGTGGGAGGCTATTGGTGGTAGTAGGCGGTCCCGCAAGTACCCGGGTCCTAAGCCATGGAGCGCTTTAAAGGTGGTAACCAAAACCTTGAAGCGCACCCGGAAGACCACCGGGAGCCAGTGCAGCTCGCGCAGGAGAGGTGTTACATGGGAACGCCATGTCGCTCCCATTACCACCCGCGCGGCCGCACTCTGCGCCAGTTGGAGCCTCCGGGTGCTCCTCAAGGGGAGCCCCATGTAGAGAGCGTTGCAATAGTCCAGGCGGGAGGTGACAAGGGCATGAGTGACCATGCGTAAAGAGTCCCGATCCAGAAAGGGACGCAACTGGCGAATCAGGCGAACCTGATGAAAAATCCTCCCGGTCACGGCCGTCAAGTGCTCTTCTAAAGACAGCCGTGAGTCCAGGAGGACGCCCAAGTTGCGAGCCCTCTCCGTGGGGGCCAATGA